CTGGTTCCTCAACGGCAAGCAGGTAGACAACGACGAGCGCCACACCGTCACCACAGAGGTCGGCGGTCAAGTCGACAGCGAGCTCGAAATCAAACACTTCAATTCTTCCGATGCTGGCAAGGTTAGTGGTATACCATTTCTTTCTCTCCCATTTTATGCTCCAATTCTATTGGTGTTGGCTACACGAGCAGTGTACTTGCAGTACGTGGTGCGCGCTGTGAGCCTGTCGGGCGAGGCGGAGTGCGAGGCGGCGGTGTCGCTGGCGCAGACGCCGCCGGGCTTCGCGCACAAGCTGGAGCGCCAGAAGGACGTCGACGAGGGCGAGCCTCTCGAGCTCAAGGCCAAGCTGGACGGCAGCCCCATACCCACCGCCAAATGGTAACTATACTCTCGGAGAAATGAAATATCTTTACCATTTCAGTTAAATATCAAATGTGGGAAATTTGTCATTGAAACATAAATAAGTACTAAACTATAATCCTTTTGCTTTTAGATATGAATCATAAGTCGGAGGCGAATTCATTTCATTAACTGTACGAAAGTCAAGTGAAAAATAATTAAAATGAACCATCGTCTGCTTCAGGTACAAGGACGGCGCGCCGCTGGCCGCGGAGGACGGCCGCGTGAAGCAGACGGCGCTGCCCGACGGCACCGTGAAGCTGAGCATTGAGCACGTGACGCCCGCAGACTGCGGCGCGTACAAACTTGTCATCAGTAACCCTAATGGCGAGAACTCCGCGCTCTGCGCTGTCGCTGTCAACCGTGAGTACCTTACTTTCCTAGCTAAAATTACAAATTATAGAATAAATTGTCATAAATATGATCCTCGTTTTAGCCACTCCGCGCAAGCCGTCGTTCAGCGAACCGCTAGAGGACGTGAAGGCTGTGGTGGGGCAGCCGCTCAAGCTGCAGGCGCGCGTCATGGCTTTCCCCGCGCCCGAGGTCAAGTGGTTCAAGGATGGTACGTTACACAACGATATTCCTCAAAAAAATCATAAACCCAACTAAAAACAGGATTGATCTAAGGAAACCTTCCTTGTTTAAAAATTGAGAACCCTATTATTTTTTATTTTCAACAATATAGTACATTTTTTTTCTAAATTAAATACACCTGCACCTTTCGCCAGGTCTACCAATCCGTCCATCGCAAGCCGTCAACTTCATCAACCAGCCGGGCGGCATCATCGGGCTGAGCATCGACAGCTGCCGGCCAGAGGACGCGGGCCAGTACGCGCTCACCGTTGCCAACAAACTCGGCGACGTCGAGTCCAAGGCCAAGGTCGAGGTGCTGCAGAAGGAGCGCAAGCCCGCCTTCGTCGCCGAGCTTATGCCCGTCAAGGTCATCGAAGGATTCCCTGCTAAACTGGAAGTTAAAGTGCTAGGACATCCACCACCGGTCATCAAGTGGTAAGCACATATTGCTTACCACTCCGTTAACAAAGTTATTAAAAATGAATTTACAAAATAAAAGAGTAAATTGTACTAGGACTCACAACGGTCAAGAGATAGTTCCGGACGGCACGCGTGTCCGGGTGGTGACGCAGCCGGACGGCGCGGTGGCACTGCTCATAGCAGAGGCCAAGGCGCCGGACGCC